CCCGCGCACCGCGGCAGAGCCGCAGTCCCCTGTGGGGGTGCCGCGCGTCTGCCGGTGGCGCCCCCACCCCTCCCCCTCCTCCTTCCTCCTCCTCCTCCTCCTCCTCCTCCTCCTCCGTCCTCCTCCTCCTCCTCCTCTCTCTCCTCCTCCCTCCTCCTCCTCCTCCTCCCCGTCCTCCTCCTCCTCCATCGTCCTCCTCCTCCTCCTCCTGCTCCTCTCTCCCTCCTCCTCCTCCCTCTCCTCCGCCTCTCACCCCTCGTCCTCCTCCTCCTCCTCCTCCTCCGCCTCCTCCTCCCTCCTCCTCCTCCTCTCCTCCTCCTCCCTCCTCCCCCCCCCCTTCTCCTCCTCCTCCCCCTTCTCGTCGTATCGTCGTCCTCCTCCTTCTCCTCCTCCTCCTCTCCTCTTCCCTCCTCCTCCTCCTCCTCCTCCTCCTCCTCCTCCTCCTCCTCCTCCCCCTGCTCCCCTACTGAGCCAGAAGCGCAACATAGGTTTGTTACGCCACACGCGGAGTGGGCCAAACGCCCACCCCCACGACTCCCTAGAGCATGGGAGCCGCGTCACCGCCGACGGTTCCCGAGAGAGAACGAAGAGAGAAAGAGAGAGAGAGAGAGAAGGACAAGAAAAAGGAAAGGAAAGAGGCGCTGGCCTCACATGTGCTGCACGACGTGCAGCACCGACTCACCGAAGGTGAGCGGCCCCCATGCCTACCTGGCTCTTCCAGCACCAGGTGACACTGGACACCCCCAACGGGTCACCGCGCGGGGCACGCGGTGCGGGAAGGTCATGGGTGTCCAGGCCTACCCCCGCAGACCCCCTTGCCCAAGGGGGGTCAGGTGGGACCACGTCTTGAGCCGTGCCCGTAGGCCGACCCCCCCAGCCACACCCTTGCCCTGCAACGTGACGGGAGGGTCAATACAGTGGCTGGGGCCTGCCCCCGCAGGAGCAGGTACCAGCAGGACGACGCGGACCGAGATCCACGCCGTCCCAGAGGGGGCACCCCCGCGGCCCAAGAACTCCAGGTCTCCGAGGGATCTGAGACTGCAGACCCGAACTACAGCGGGACCACCGCCAGAGTTCGGGGGGGCCGCCCCAGGCCCGTCAGGGCACCGACGCCCCTGGCCCGCCGCGCAGCCCCTGCGCAGGCGACGTCTTGGTGGATTTCAGTTCACCCCAGGAACTTCAACGTGCCGGCCACGCGCCAAAGTGCGCTCCTGGGGGCCTTCTCCGCCTCCTCCTCCTCCTCCTCCTCCTCCTCCTCCTCCTCCTCCTCCTCCTGGTCCTCCTCCTCCTCCTCCCCTCCTCCTCCTCCTCCTCCTCCTCCTCCTCCTCCTCCTCCTCCTCCTCCCTGCTCCTCCCCCTCCTCCTCCGTCCGTAGCCAGTTTGACTCAAGATGCAAGGTTCCTCTGGATCCGAAGTGGATATCCCTAGCCCGAGGCAGTGCCAGGGCATTTGTGCCCGACAGTCCGTTTCAGGGGAGCCGCTCTCTGCCCGCGTGGTTGTTCGAGCCCCTTCCCGCACCCTGCAGCAGGCATGGCGGCGGGGCTGCCAGCTCTGTGCCGTGGGCCGCGCACCCCATACTGGGCGTGCAAGAGCTGCGACTGCACGGGCAACTGGGCGTCGCGCACCTGCAGGAGTGCTGCGCCGCGCCGGGGAGCAGCACGTGCTGGCGGGCGGCACGCCCAAGGGAGGCGGCACGCCCAAGGGAGGCGGCGCCGGCTCTGGGGGCAAGGGCAGCGGAGGCCGAGGCTCGCCAGGGAAATGATGGGACGCGGGCGGCGAGATCAGGAAGATGCTCGCGGACCTCCGCTCGCCCTCTGTGGCTGGAGTTGGCAAGGGCCTCGGGGGCGGCGCGCGCTCCCCAGCCACCCCGCCCGCGACGGCAGAGGGGGCCGCGGAGGACCCTGACCGTCGGGCACATGTCGCCGGGCTCGCGGAGATCATCGGGGCTGCCGAGCGTCAGAAGCTCGGGGACGAGTACCTCAAGCTGCAGGAGGGTCGGCTGGTCGCCCTGCGCAAGGAGGCGCAGCTGGCGAAGACCCCGCAGCAGGCAGTCACGTCGCTGTCCTCCAGGCTTTCGAACCTCGAGGCCAAGCTCGCCAAGATGGGCGAGGCGGTGGACGGGCGCCAGGAGGCGATCGACGCCGCGACGGTGGAGCTCACCAGGCTCGTCCAGGTCAAGGAGGACCACCAGGCGGCCCTTGAGACGGCCCAGGCCGACATCACGGCCACGCGGGCCGAGCTGCGCGACGCCGCCAACAAGGCAGCGTCAGCAGCGAGCTCGGAGGGGGTGCTCTAGCAGCAGCCCCCGCCCCCACACTGGTGGTCGCGCACGCCGAGGAGGCGTGCAAGCAGGCCATCGCCGACGCGCTCAGAGACCACCCCCCGCCCCGCCGCTCTTGGCCCAGGAGGGGGGCGGAAAAGATCCTCGGGCAGCTCGTCGCGGGTGGGTTGGCCAAGCTGGGGCCTGCCCCTTGCTCTGACCCTGCTGCGGACAGTGCCGGCAATGGTGGCGCCGACACCGACGAGATCATGGCCGATGGCATCGGCGACAATACCCTGACGCTATTCCAGGCAGCCACCAAAGGGGACAGCGCCGTCGCCAAGAAGCAGTTCGCAACGACCATGCACGACGTCCGCCTGGTCAAGAATGAGTTCAAGACGCGTGGGTAGTGCACGCGACGGCCCACGCGTAGCCCGCAAGGCTCGCGAGGGCGAGCCAGGGGGATCTTGGCCCGCCGTTGGGATCAAGCTGGGGGGCTGGGGACGGGATCGTGGACTGCCTCAAGGACGAGAAGTACTAGTCGTTTTCCTGCAGGAGACCAAGCTCAGTGCAGGTCGCCAGCGCGAGGTCCAGGCCAGCCTGCTGATCCATGGGTGGCGGATGGCAGGCGCGCGCGCGATGCTGAAACACTCTGGGCTGAGTGGCGGGGCCAGAATCCTCGTGCGCAAGCACACCTGATTGTGGTGGGAGGGGAAGGAGGCGATCATCGTGCCAGGCAGGGTCGTCGGTGCCTTCTGCCGCCTCCCCGACGTGGGCGTGTTGATGCCCCACAGCGTTTAGTAGACGCTGTAGAGCATCACCACTCCCACTATCGGACACTGGCCCGCTTATTTGTGATTGTGTAGGCGCTATATGTATGTGTTTATGTGTGCTTGTTTGTTTGGATGGTTGCACGTATGTCATGCATGCATGCATGCATTTATGTGTGTATGTATGTATGTATGTATGTATGTATGTATGTATGTATGTATTTATGTATGTATGTATGTATGTATGTATGTATGTATGTATGTATGTATGTATGTATGTATGCATGCATGTATGTATGTATGGATCTGTTTATGTGTATTTGACACATACATACACACATACACATAGATTATAGGTTATATCATCAGTGGGGCGATCTTTCTTTTACTATTTCTTACTAGTTTGGAGCATGTTGGGAGTATGTCGTCGCTCTTTGTCCAGCAATCCGCCTGCAGGAGGACATGCCCGACCCAAGAGGCATATGCAACAATAGTCCAAACATGGGACGGGGGCGATTTTCTATTTGTTGTTTACGACCTTTGAGCATATTAGGAGTATTGTTGTCGCTCTTCCTCCAGAATCCGCCTGTAGGAGGACATGCCCGACCTAACCCTTCTCTTCCGTTCCTGCGGCAGCGACTGCACGCAAAAGTGTGGCCTGTCGCCAGAGTGACTTTGGGTTGCGGGCCCACGGAGGCGCCCCCCCGATCGCCGAATTACGATGCGACGGTTGCGTCTGGCGCGCTCGGATTTGGTCACTCTCGCGTTAAGTCGGGCGTGCCCCTCTACAGGGGGAATGTTCAACAGTAGTCAAAAAATAATAGCCTGGGGACGATTGTTCGACTATGTTTGACTATTGTTGAGCACGTGTTGCGCATTTTCCGCCCCAAACCCGCCTGTAGGAGGACATGCCCGACCTATTTTTTTGCGGGTAGCCGACCGCATTGTTCCTTTGGTGGCCAGAAAACTGTAGGCTTGAGATCCGACGTCGCAGCAAACAACATGGCAGCATCGCGAAGGATCACGACTCTCGAGCCCCAGACCCCCCCATCCTTCTGCAGCATGTCTCGAGCTGGATCTATCTGCGAGGCTTCCGGTTCCGGGGTCCGAAGTGAGGCCAAAACGCCCAGTGTGTGTGTGTGTGTTTGTAAAAATCGCAACGCGTGGATCTGAGGAAAACGGCGTGGTTCGAGCCCCCCTGAAAGGCCTCCCGCTGCTTCCCAGACCTCTCGCAGGGAGGGTTCTGACCAGGATTTCGATGAGAATCCAGCCGTGGTGGCGAGGGCTTTCCTTGAGTAGGGGGGCAACCACAGGAGGGGAGAGGCTCAGAGGGGGTACGCATCGACTCCCAAACGCGCACTGATCGCCGATAGGGGCCTGATAGCCTACCCCGCACGGGAAGGTGCGGATTGGCAATCGGAGGCCTCTCGCCGATCAATCGGCGATGCATCGCCTATGCCATGTCGACGTGTCCCCTCCATATGCCCGTCGACCCCTATCGTTGCCCCTCAACACCAGGACGAACAGCGGCATCGGTATATTTTCCTCTGAGGCCTCCGAGGGCGGGGACCGCCACCGCGGGCACGACGAGCGCAGAACGCGAGACGCCCGTGGAGACGCTCGCGGCGTCTGGCGGGCGGCGACGGCGTCGACGCCGTCAGACGAGGCGCCCGTGGAGAAGCTCGCGGCGTCTCGCGGGCGACGGCGACGACGAGGACGACGACGACGACGACGACGAGGACGACGACGTGGACGACGACGACGAAGACGAAGACGACGGCGACGAGGAGGACGACGACGACGACGACGACGACGACGAGGACGACGACGAGGACGAGGACGAGGACCACGACGACGACGACGACAACGACGACCACGACGACGACGACGACGACGACCACGACGAGGACGAGGACGAAGACGTCCGCGGCGCGAGCCCGTGCTCCCCGCCTGACACGCGGCCGCCCCAGGCGGCGGTGGAGCTCCTGGGGTGCGACGGGGCGAGGCGGGTAGTCTGCTGGCACGGCCTGCTGCTCGAGGAGACGCGCCCCCCCCTCACACTCTAGGAGGAGGAGGAGGAGGAGGAGGAGGAGGAGGAGGAGGAGGAGGAGGGGTAGGAGGCAGCGGCGGATGACGAGGCGGAGGAGGAGGGGGCAGGACGATAGAGTAGAGGAGGAGGAGGAGGAGGCGGAGGAGGAGGAGGCGGCGGAGGGGGGGGAAAGGGGGCTACAGTCAGGAACTTTGGCTCAGCGTGTCGCTCCGCTGGTTCTGAACCACCACGCTTCGACGCGACTCGCTATCCACGTTTCCATTCCCAAGCGCCAACGTCCGGAGTATTTCCTAGCCTACCACCCCACGGAGCCGAGCGACACGCTTTCCGCCTGCAGGGCACAGCACGTCGTCGGGGCCGCCGCCGCGACACGCTAAGCAAACATTCCCGACTGTATGTCCCCCCCGGCCGCGCACGAGCTACACGAGGAAGTACAAGCTCAGGCGTCACGGGTGGGACAGAACGCGTTCGGGCCCGACGCTCAGGCGTTCATGCCCGCCGTATGCGCGTCTGATCTCTGGAGGTGGGCGGTGGAGAGGGGAAACGGTGCGTCCTTCTTGGGTCAATACTAAGGACGGGGAGGGGGTGGGAGGTGGAAGATTGGGGGTGGGGGAGGGATGGGGGGAAGGATGATGATGATGATGATGATGATGATGATGATGATGATGATGATGATGATGATGATGATGATGATGATGATGATGATGATGATGAGATGATGATGATGATGATGATGATGATGATGATGATGATGATGATGATGCTGATGCTGATGCTGATGGTGATGGTGATGGTGATGGCGATGATGAGGAGGAGGAGGAGGAGGATGAGGAGGATGAGGAGGATGAGGAGGATGAGGGGGATGAGGAGGGTGAGGATGAGGATGAGGATGAGGATGAGGATGATGATAACGATGATGATGAAGATGATGATGGTTGTGGTGGGGGTGGTGATGATGATGTTGTTGTTCATCATAATTGTGATGCTAATGTTGATGATGCTCATGCTGCTGCTGCTGATCCTGATGATGATAATGCTAATGCTGATGTTGATGATGATGTTGATGGTGATGATGCTGATACTGATGATGTTGATGATGATGGTGCTGCTACTGATGCCGATGGCGATCATGGAAATGATTCAGGTGCTGATGCTGATGAGGATGATGGTTATGCTAGTCAGGGAGAGGTGAATGATGCTGATGATGCTGATGATGGTGTTGATGATTGTGATGCTGATGATGATGCCGATGATGATGACGATGATCATAGTGGCGATGATAAAGATGACGATGCTGATGATGATGATCCTGATGTTGATGATGATACTGATGCTTAAATATATGACGATGATGCTGATTGTGATGATGGTAATGATGATGATGATGATGATGATGATGATGATGATGATGATGATGATGATGCTGAGGATGCTGATGCTGCTGATGGTGATGATGTTGACGCTGATGAGGATGGTGCTGCTGATGCTGCTGGTGATGGTGATGGTGATGTTGATGGTGATTCCGGAGGTGATAATGATGCTGTTGCCGATGATGATTCTGATAATGATGATGATGATGATTATTCTGACGCCGATGATGATAACGCCGATGCTGCTGCTGCTGATTATGATGTTGTAAATGATGATGATGCTGGTGATGGTGATGGCTATGATGAGGATGTCGATGCTGATGATGATGCTGGTGATGGTGATGGTGATACTGATGTTGCTGCCGATGGTCGGGCTAAAATGATGATGATGGTGATGAGGATGATGGTGATGATGATGCTGATGGTGATGGTCACGATGCTGATGGTGATGCTGATGAGTCAGATGATCATGATGCTGACAATCATGATGATGAGGCTGATGATGAGGATGCTGCTGGTGGTGATGATGATGCTGCTGATGCTGATGCTGATGCTGATTATAATGCTGCTGCTGATGCTGATGATGGTGGTGGTGGTAGTGGTGGTGGTGTGATGGTGGTGATGATTAGGAGGAGGAGGAGGAGGAGGAGGAGGAGGAGGAGGAGGACGAGGAGGAGGCAGAGGAGGATGCTGAGGCGGAGGAGGAGAAGTAGGAGAAGGAGGAGGCGGAGACGGAGACGGCGAAGGAGGAGGAGAGGGAGGATGGTGATGACGGTAGTGATGATGATGGTGGTTGTGGTGGCGGTGGTGATGTTGATCATGATTGTGTTGGTGATGATGATTGTGGCGATGTTGAGGAGGGTGATGATGATGATGATGCTGATGATGCTGATGATGATGATGATGATGATGATGATGATGATGATGATGATGGCGTTCGTGGTGGTGGTCGTGCTGGCGATGCTGATGGTGCAGGTGGTGGTGATGATGATGATGCGTGTACTGATGACGATTATGATGGTTGTGTCAGTGGTACTGATGGTGATGTGGTTGGTAGTGATGATGACAATGCTGATGCCGATGATGGTGATGCTGATGGTTATGCTGATCATGATGCTGATGATGACGATAATGATGATGAAGAGGATGATGATGCGCACGATGAGGGTGATGAGGATGTTGGTGATGGTGAATCTGGTATTGATGACGATGGTGATATTGGTGACGAGTGTGATGCTGCTGGTGCTGATGGTGATGCTGCTGCTGATAATGATGTTCAGTATGATGATGCTGATGAGGACGAGGATGGCTAACGAGGGGGGGGGAGCAGGTGGATGAGGAGGACGAGGAAGAGTGACGCATCCGATGAGGAGGGGGACGGAGGGTAGGAGCATGATATCGGGTGGTGTCTGGGCGCTCTCGAAGTCTAGAAGAGGGGGGTGGGGGTGGGGGGGGTGGGGGGACGGAGTGGGTTCTGGTGGTGTTGGGGGCTTCCGTCCTCCTTCCTCCTCCCCCCTCCTCTCTGCTCCCTCCGATTTCTCCTCCTTCCCCGTCTCTTCTTTCTCCGCCTTTCCTCCCTGCCACCCCTTCCTCCCTCCCTACTTCTCTCCCCCCCACTCCTTATTTCACTCATCTCTTTCTCATCGTCTTTCTTTTCGTCGCCCTCTTTCTCTTCCCTTTTCCCACCCTTCTCTCACCTCTATCCTCTCTCTGCCTGCCTGTAGCGGAGGGGAAGGGAGGAGTGAGAGGAGACGGGGAAAAGGGGGGGATGAGCAGGAGGAACAGGGCGGGTTCGTTTTGGGGCGGGGGGGCGGGGGGGGGAGAAATGGAGCGCCTCGACCCCCAAGAGGAGGGCGGACGGAGAGGGGGTGGAGCCCGGGTGCGGAGAAGAGTGGGTGGAGGCGGGGGTGCGGGCGCGCACGGAGGGGGGCAGGGCGGGGAGGGCGGGGAGGGCGGAGGGAGGGAGGGGGGTGGACGGGGGGCGGGGTAGGGGGAGCGACGGCACCCCGCCAGAGAGGGGGGAGGCACGGGGGGAGGGGAGGGGGCGCGGGAGGGAGGGAGGAGGGGGGGGGGTGGAGAGCTCCCCCCCCCATCAGCGTCCTCCCCATCTTCCCCCCATCAGCGGTCCTCCCCTCCGCTCCCCCCTCTCGCTCCTCCCCTCCCCTCGCTCCTTCCCCTCCCTACTCCCTCCTGCGCCCCCGCGTGCGCCGCCCTCCACGGCTTCTGCCTCTTCGCCGGGGAGGGCGGCGCGTGCGCGCGCCGCCCGCGAGGTCGCCGCCCACCGCGGGGGCGGGGGCTCCTCCTCGGATTCAGCCCGCTCTGTTCTGACGGGCGTCGGTCCCTCCGTGGCACTCCTCGGTGCTCTTTCCGCCCTCCTCCCCCACCCCCGGTCTCTACCCCTCCTCCTCCCCCCCCTCCTCCTCCTCCTCCTCCTCCTCCTCCTCTCCTCCTCTCCTCCTCCTCCCTCCTCCTCCTCCTCGCTCCTCTCCTCCTCCTCCTCCTCCTCCTCCTCCTCCCCCTCTCCCTCCCCCTCCTCCTCCCCCCTTAAGAGGGGGCGCTCTCTCGACATCTCTTCCAACGTCTGCTCTTTCCTCCCTCCTCCCCCCACCCTGGGTGGTTCGGATGTGGGGCGGGCTCTGAGGATGGAGGGGGCCCCACAGGAGGAGCTCTTGACGCTTCGCGCATCCCCGCCGGCCCATGCAGGAACGATGCCCGGGGGAGCTGCCCTTCTCGGGGGAGCGTGGCTTCACCTGGAGAACTCGGGGGAGGGCTCTCGGAGTTTCTTGGGATACCTCCCGTCCTCTTGGGGCCTCTTGTGGACCTCCCGGCGGATCTTCGGGGCCTCTTGGGGAGCCTGGGCCGAAGGCCTCTTGGGACGTCTTGGGGGCCTCTTGGCTGCTCTTCGGGGCTTCGTGGGGCGCCTTGGATGCTTCTTGGAAGCCTGTTGAGCCCTCTTCGGGGGCGCTTGGAGGCCGCTCGTGGGCCTCTTGGGGGCCTCTTGGAGGCCTTTTGGGGCACTGGGCTCTTTTGGGAGTTTTTCGGGCCGTCCTGGGGCCATCCCGGAGGCGATCGATCATTCAGAAGCGCCCCGAAGCGTTGGAGTGCGGCTGCGGCGAGTTGCGATGGGAGAGGCAGGCCAGTGCTGTCCAAGTAGAAGTAGAGCCGCACATCTGGGTCAAGGCGGCTCCTTAGCAGCTGGGAGAGCGCTGCTCTCTGACCAACCACGCGGGTGGCGGGCGCAAGTGGGTCCGCTGGGTAGCCGAGCGTGTTGTCGACCTCCTCGAAGTTGCAAGCTGCGTCTCGCCATAGGTGTTTCGCCGAGTCCGGGGGCCAAGCACTCTGAGACCCCTGGAGTTCTGGCATGAAGGCAGCCACTGCCCGACTGCTTGGCTCTCTCTCTCTTGAGGCAACCGGCGGCCGCATTGATGTCCACCCTAGAAAAACCATCACCGGGTGAGCGTCGGACTGGACCTGGAGCTGCCTGACCGCAGGTCTGCTCCGCACCCCCAGCCAGCTCCGCACTGGCGAGTGCTGGCCGCCTGACGGAGTCCGTTTCTCTCGACCCGCGCCATCGCACGCATCCCAAATTGGGTGGACATTCCTCACACCTCGCACCCGCCTGGCGCGCCGCCCTGGAGGCGCTGGGGCCGCCAGATTGAATAGCTAATTCGGTGCAGTTCTGCCTCCTCCTCCTCCTACTTTTCCTCCTGTTCCTCCTCCTCCTCCTCCTCCTCCTCTTCCTCCTCCACCTTTCTCTTCGGCCGCGAGGCGCCCTGTTCGCATGGTAAAATAGTGTTCTGGCCGGGCCCCAAGCAGTCCCGGGACGGTGCCCCGAGCAGGTTTTGCAAGCAGTTTGCCGACCTCTTCTGCACCCAGGTCCCAAGGGCCTGGGTCGAAGACGGCCCCGCGTCGGCCAGCGGGCTGGGCAGAGCTGCGGATGGCGGCGGCAGCGGGGAATGGGGCGCGCCGCTTCTCTGGAGTGCTGCGGCCGCGCGGAGCGAGCCGGGTATCCCGCGCGGCCCGCCGCGCTTGTCCTCGTGGTGCGATATCCGGCCCCGAGAGTTTTCGGGGTTCGGGAGGTCGCCGCGGCCCTCGCGGCGGCCACGAATCGGGGCAAGTTTTTTGTTGTCAAGGAGTGGCATGTCCCTTCCTAGTCCCCCCCTCCCGCTCTGCGACGCAGACTTGGCTCACACGCAGCAGTCTGGTGACCGAGGGTGGCCAATTTCTGTCCAGCATGGGCAGTCATGCTTTCGTGGCTGGGGACCGTTCATCACGCAGCCGTGTTCCTCCTCGCCGGCCGAGTCCAGGGGTGTGCCCGACGCGCCCTTCTCTTCTAGACCTCCCAGATGGGGTCAGAGTCAATGGGGTCGAAGGATCGCCCTGCATCGACGATGCGTCGACGATGCGGCTCGCTGTGGAGCCCGAGCTTCTCCACGCCAATGGCGCCGATGCATCGGCGGTGGCCCCAGACATCGGGCTGCTCACCACATTTTTGTTGATGCGTGGGCCCCAGAGGTCTGGACCACGTGCCTATAGGGCCAGTTTTTCGTCCTGAGTCGTTCTTTGACGCTCCCGAGGCCCGGCGAGGGCCCCCTGGAGGCCGAAAGCGGCCAGAAGCCGCCAGCTCCAATTTTTATCGGAGCATCAAATCTCCAGGCCGACTGCTACATCGAGTTTTTTCGAACCCCGTGTAGGAGTCGGCCACGCGCAGAAGAGGGTAGTTAGGGGAAAGGGGGGACGGCTTCTTAGGATCGTGCTTACGTCGGGAGCCAATTCCTGAAGCATGGAGGTGGAGAGGAGGAGGAGGAGCAGGAGGAGGAGGAGGAGGAGGAGGAGGAAGAGCAGGAGGTGTAGGAGGAGGACGACCCAGACATGCGATGTCTTCATGTGTTTTACACGGAGTCCCCGAAGACCAGACCCTTTCCCCGTTGCGGGCCGTTTTTTTACGGCCCTGGGACCCGGCGAGGGCCCCGGAGGCCGAAGACGGCCGAAAGCCTCTTCCTTTCGGGGAGGAGGAGGAAGACGAGGAGGAGGAGGAGGAGGAGGAGGAGGAGGAGGAGGAGGAGGAGGGTGACGCCTCATGCCTTGGAGCGCCTGCGGCTTGCCCATCAAAAGAGGAGGAGGAAGACAAGGAAGAGAAGCAGGAGGCATAGGAGGAGGCGGAGGAGGAGGACGAGCAGGAGAGAGAGAGAGAGAGAGAGAGAGAGAGAGCAGGGAGAGATGAGGGAGGACGGAGGAGGGAGAAGGGAGGAGGGAGGAGGGAGGAGGGAGGATGGAGAAGGGAGAAGGGAGGAGGGAGGAGGGAGGAGGGAGGACGGAGGGAGAGGAGGAGGAGGAGCAGGAGGAGGAGGAGGAGAACCATCAATAAGCTTAATAATATTATGATTGGTACTACTACTCGAAATAAGCATACTATACGATTAAGCATGCTACTGATACTTATAGTAACACCAATAGTAGCTAGAATGATCATAGTATCTAATATTAAGCATTAATAATAATGATGCTGATAATGCTGGTGATGTTGATGTTGATGATGTTGCTGCTGATGATGATGATGCTCATCATCATCATCATCACCATAATAATCCTAATGCTAATAAGAATAGTAATAATATTGATAATAATAATACTACTAATAATAATAATAATAATAATAATAATAATAATAATAATAATAACAATACTAATAGTAATAATAAGAATAATAATAATAATAACACTAATAATACTAACAGTAAGAATACTAGTCGTAATAATAACAATACTAATAATACGAATCCTAGTGATGTGAAGAAGACGAAGAAGAGGAGAAGGAGGAGGAGAAGAAGGAGGAGCAGAAGGAGGAGGAGGAGGAGGAGGAGGAGGAGGGGAATGACCCTCTCCCTCTCGAACGCGCTGCCGCTGGAGGAGACGCCGCGGTGCGTGCGCGAGCGCGGCGCCCGGGAAGCGGCCAGGGGGGGGGGGCGCCCGCTCGGGCAGGGGCGGGCGGCGCCGTCGCGGCAGCGGCAGTCGCGCCGCGGTGGGGCGGAGGTGCGGGTCGGCCACGCGCAGACGATCGAAGCTTCGAGGCTCGAGGTGTCGAGGAGGAGGAGGAGGAGGAGGCGGAGGAGGAGGAGGAGGAGGAGGAGGAGGAGGAGGAGGAGGAGGAGGAGAGTTCGACGGCTCTTCGGGCGTCTGCTTCGGCTCTCTTGGCGGCTGGCCAGCCTCGGGGGGTGCTCTCCGGCGGCGGCGGCCCGCCGAGGGCGGGCGGGTCTGCGGGGGCGCCTTGGAGCGTCCCGGAGGGGTCGCCGCAGGCCCGCGGTCTGGCACGCAAGCCAGCAGCCACGCGCAGAGGGGGGGTCGGGGTTGAGTCGGGCGTGTCCCGCTACAGTCGACTAGACGTAAGAGTGGCCTTTTGCCGGAGCGACCTCTGGTGCGGGCACAGACGGGCCCCCAGATGGCCGAAAACGAAGCGGTGGCAGGGGCTTGCGCGTCCAGGTTTGGCCTCCCCGCGGCCCCCAAAAAGCCGCGCACCAAAGGTCACCCTTACCCAGGGTCACTCTTGCGTGTAGCCGATGCAGGAAGAGTATTCAAAGCTAATTCAACAGATCGTCAGGGGGCGATTGTTTGAGCCTTGTCGATGATGGTTTGAAGATGTTCTGGCTGTTTGTCATTTTTCCTCCAGAATCCGCGTGTAGGGGGGGAGGGCCGACCGGAGGGTAGGGGGAGGGGGGAAGGCTTCTTAGAAGGACCCCTACCTCTTAGAAGGCGCGGGCCTCGTCTGTAGAGGTAAGGCCCGCGCCTTCTACGAAGCAGCCTCCTAAGAAGCCTTCCCCCTCCCCCTACCCCCCTCTGCGCGCTGCCAGGAGGGGTGCGTAGATGAGGGGAAGGAGGGATTCGAGTAGGGGGTCGAAACGGCTTTTTTCGGCGAGTCTACGAAGAAGTATTTGGAATGTTCTGTAGATCGACGGAGCATTCCACGGATGTTGTGTAGATTTGACGGAACATGCATTCGGGCGTAAATCAATTCTGTAGTCGACCCCCTCTTCGAGGGACCGCTGTGGGAAAAACGGGCCCTGAGTGAAACGTGTCCTGAGGTTGTCCGCCGTGTTCGGGCTCTCGGGGCCCTCCACGGGCCCCGGGAGCGTCAGAGAACGACTTGAGAGGAAGAGCTCGTCTTGGGGGAGGAGGAGGAGGAGGAGGAGGAGGAGGAGGAGGAGG